TATAGGTGAGGACCCTGGATGGAAGGCCACCAGTGGCCTGCCTTTCAGGCCTTGCTGGCATGTTAGTGTTAGAACTTGTAGGATGTGGCACTTTGCTCAGCATCTGACTCACAAGCATAAATTTGTCAGAAAATCCTTGGTCCCTGTCCCTGGCATCTCCAGGGTGAACAAGCATATCCCACATACCATTAGCAAGGAAACTAACCTAAGGTAGAAATAATTTTCAACTAATGAGTCAGTTTAGTTTTATGTTCAACAAGGGCTACTTGCATGTCCATTTTATTTATAGTAAAGAAAAATAGGCATATATCAAAATAATTACTATTCATTAGCATTTTCTGACATTACATCAAAGTTCAAGTCTAGCAACACTGTTTATAAACAAATAATCCTATGCCTCCAAAATAGCCACTGCCTAATAATGATGCTTTACATACACAATTGCTCAATTAAATTCCTAATGACATAAATATGACTCTTAAGAATTCTTCTTAAGCTTCCCACTAATTTAGTGATATTGTGCCTATATTTTTCAATATGAAAGGCCACTTCTACTACTCCTGATATGCTGCTACTTCTAGTTATTTAATCACAATAGAAAGTCTATAAAAAGTTTATAGCTACAACATTTACATTCCATTAGGTCAACAAATTGCATAAAATAATTTTTCATTAGCAGAAGGATAGCAAATCGAAACTGATCTAGATGTAGTTTCAACTTAAAGGTATCTAAAAAATAGACAATAGCTGTACCTCAGATACGCATATAAAACTCAGTCCATTATTACAGGAAATAAAGATTTTAAAAGGTTATAACCACTACTGAGGTTCAATTTACAAAAAGAAAGAAAGAAAGAAAAAGAACAGAGATGCCGATGCATACTAAAAACCCATCAGAGGCAACCACCTACTTCATCATACATTAGCCCCCAGAAAAAGGAAACGGGGCTTTCACCAGTGCCAAAGCTTAAAGATACAACTGCCATTATCAAAACAGTTTAGCTGCATGATAAAGCATAGTTAGAACCAAAGTATTAGTCTGGAATGCCGTAGCTTCATTGTGTTATGCAATCAGCTCCTCACCTGAAGACTCCCTGCTCCACCTCTGCTCAACAAACCAAAGTTATTTTTTACATGCATTTTTGAGTAAATATAAATCACCACATTATTTCTCAAGATGAATCAAGGTATTAAATGAAACACACACATCATCTATGAGGGCAGAAAAAAGGCAATGAACTCAATAAACAATAAACAAATGAATATAAAAAATATCTCATGAAGCTAAATGGTCAATTACCTAGCATAGGTTTTGCATGTAGGTGTAACCTTTACAGAAGATGAAGAATAAGATAAGTAAACATGAATCTTTATAGACAAAAGGCAATTTTCTCTAAATTTTTAAAAAGCATTAAGTCCCATGTTTTGTCAGGAATACAAGTACACACAAAGGAAGTCATATTCAGTACTCTTCCACAAATTGTTATTGAGCCCCTACCATGCAACAGACAGAATAACTTTTCAAGAACAAAACTCTGAAGTGTTTGCCTTCAGGTAATGAGGGATGAAGACTCGTTTCTGGCTATCCAGACAACTTTGGTGAGTTAAACCCACAGGAGGATCTAAGGGTGACCAGAGAACCCTATCCCAAGGAAAGCAGGAGGCACTCTGCCTTGGAAAGCACTGGGGACCCCCTAAAGAAGCAAAGGAAGGATAGGAGAGGACTAAAGAGCTTCAGTGAACTCTAATTTTCCACAGTACTCACAACGTTAATTTAGCTAAACACCAATCCCCTGGTGATGAAATGTCCGCACCATCAACCCTCATTTCACAAACACCAACAGAATGAGATTCCCATTTTTGGAAGCTCTCTTTTTACACACAATGTGAATGTTACGGAAAAGCAAGTTTAACCACAATGATTTTAAAATATATCTTAATCCTCTTAAAAAATAAATGTAATCCAAAGAACCATGTTAATTATCTTCCTAAACATAGAAACCTCAGAATTATCATGGTTATCAAAGCTCACCAATCACAGATAATTAAAGCAGTTATAAAATTTGATAAGACACTGATCACTGTACCAAAAAAGGCAAGAAAAAGCAAAAAACTCATGCTCATTGACATTCATAAAAAAATTACCCAACAAAATAAATGCAAGGCTTAAATTTTGTTTGTACAAGTGAACCTCTATAGTGGATTTGTTCAGCATCTACTGAATATCTAGTAAGGACTAATGTGTCATTTATGTTCTTGTAGAAAGCTAAGACATTCAATTTGTAATGGCCAAATAGAGTAAAAATAATCATTAGATGGTAAAAAAAATTCATATACACTCTGATAAGGCAGACTGAAACCACTATCCTTAAAAATACTGGTTTAGAGAATTATTAAGTTACATACACCGCAAAAAAAATAGTTATGTAAAGCTTAACTTCTAAGACAAGAACAAACAGAAAAGCATGCAAAGGTTCTCTACAAAACAGAATAGGAAGTATGAGCTAGCCATACACAATGACAGTGCTCAGAAAAAATAACATGGACTTGTTTTTTGTGGGGGGGTGTATTGGGGACTGAACCCAGGGGCACTTTACCACTGAGCCACATCCCCAGCCCTTTTAACTTTTTATTAAAAAGTTAAGCTTAACTAAGTTGCTGAAGGCTAAATTGCTGAAGGCCTTGCTAAATTGCTGAGGTAGATTTTGAACTCCTGACCCTCCTGCCTCAGCCTCCAAACCACTGGGGTTACAGTTGTGGCCACTGGGCCCAGCAACATGGACATTTGTTAAAAACAATTCACTATATAAGGCTTTCAAATGCGATTTTGAAGAATCTCTTCTAAAAACAGAAAGGTTCAGATTTAAGAGGTGAGGAAACACTAGTATGAAATATTCAATCTTTTTTAAAAAGTCCTTCAATTTTTGCTCTGTAAACACAGCAACTTTTCACCTCCAGAATGACGGAAGAAAGATTTCCAAATGACAAGCCAATTTTATTTTAATAAGTACTCATATCTCTAGGAAAATGAGAATGTTTCAAATTAATACTTAAAAGTAGAATTTCATTAAATTAATTAACTACATTTCTGGCTTGGGATTTTTTTTTTAAATGTCAACTGAATCTAAAAGACAAAGAATAAGTTGCATACTCTAATACCCAACTGAAAAAAAAGATTTTTCCCCCAACTAAACTTGAGAAATCTCTCAAAAAACCAATTAAAAATAGATTAAAACCAAAACCAAAACAAAATGATTATGTACCAAGACAATATTTTACATCCAAATATTCTTATCCTACCACAAAAAAAGAACTCATTATTCCCGAAAAACATAATCCTTAAATTAAATTACTACAAAAGTTGTGCTAGAAGTCTATGAATGAACACTTCACTACACAGTAAATTTGCTTACTAGAAGCTAACTCATAAACTCACCACAGAAGATGAGTTGTGAGTCAGGTATAAGCTAACATCAGTGCTCAGACTGGTAACCTGAACCTAACAGTTTATATCAGCATTGGGACTGAGGATTGTGAGTGGCTCTAACCATCTCAAGGGTGCTCAGAGGCAAAATGAACAGAGGAAGAGCAGCCTCCCACCACAAGCCAATCAGGACCCCAAAACACAGAGTCAAATTTTTCTCAACATTACAAGCTGAGATTTAATGATAAAGAGATTAAATTTCACTAGGACGTTCATATCTACCAAGGGTGTTTTGGTGCCAGAAAGCTAGCAAATAAATATTGTTAGTTTTAAATCACCTACAACAAACCAAAACCAGATGCTATTAAACAAGGTCCTGAACAGGCAGGAATCCAGAGTGTCAGGTCGCGCAGTGGAAGTGTGCACAGCTAACACTCAAGGACATACATTCTAATGGCCCTGTGCCCTCACAGGAGGACCCTCCTGGCCACCTCTGGCTTCCCTGATGGACTGGGCCTCAAACATTTTTTTTGCAAAACCGGGCACAACTCTTTCAGCAGCTCTGCTATAAACAACTGCCAATGCACCAGACCAAGGGTGACTGACTTCCTCCCGCCTGGGAGCCGGGCTGCCTGCCACCCTGCTGCGCCCTGGCCAGCGGCGGGTGCCTTGGCGCCCAGCCAGAGGGGTCAGACACAACTCTGGACGTCAGTCTCTCGCCGGGGTGGGCACTTCACGCTCCAGACCCCCCAAGCGAGTACCAGCCCGTCACGTGCTCTCCAAGTGACCGTAGTCCATGTCCCCACACTCGCAAGACGCCATGAGAAAAACAGAAGGCGGCCAGGACCAAACGTCCAGTGCGGTCGGCATCCCCTGGGGACACGAGACCCACAGAGTGGCCCACCAAGCACGACAGGGCGACCTGGGGCACAAGGGAAAGAGCAGGTGGGGTCCAGGGCACGGGGTTCAGCTATATAGGGGCCCAGGAGCACCAGTGAACCACGGGACACAGGTGGGTGACCAGGTGGGGGAGACAGGTGAGCAGCCAGAAAGCACAGGTGTGTGGCCAGGTGGGGTCCCAAGGACACAGGTGTGTGGTCAGGTAGGGTCCCTGGGGGAGCAGGTGAGGTCCCCAGGGACACAGGAGGGCAGCCAGGAGAAGGCCTGAGGCACGAGGGGCTGGCCAGGTGGGGTCCAGGGCGCACAGGCGAGTGGCTGGGGCTGGTCAGGGGAGGCCTGAGGCACAGGAGAGCAGCCAGGTGGGGACCGGCGGCTCAGGCGACGAGCCGGGGAGGCCGGAAGCAGAGGGGGCGGCCAGGTGCGACCCCGGGGGACTTGGGTGGGGGCGGCCAAGGGCAGGCCCGGAGCACAGGTGGGCGGCCAGAGGGGCCCCGGAGGCCCAGGCGAGCGGCCGGGCAGCCCGGGCACAGGTGGCGCGGCCTGCGGACCCCGCGCGGGACCCGCCCGGGCCGGCGGGGAGGGGGCGCGGGCCGAGGCGGGGCGCGGGGCGGCGCGAGGACGGGGACGGGGACGCGGCGGCAGGGACCCTCCCGCGCCGCCGCGGCGCGGCGCCCACCTCGGTCGGCTGGCTGATCTCGAACAGGTCCAGCCGGTTGGCGTTCCAGTGGTGGATGATGTCGGCCAGCTTCCGCCGCTCCTCGTCGCGGCCGCCCGCCGACATGGTGGGCCGCGCTGCTGCCGGGCCCGCGGCCGGCACCCAGGCCGCTGTGCGCCGCGCCCTCCTCCCGGCCCGGCCCGCGTCCGGCCCGCGCCGCCTCAGCCCGCGCCTCAGCCCGGCCGGTGCGCCGCGGCCGCCCCGCCCGCCGCCGCCGTGCGCGCCCGCCGTGCGCGCGCTCGCGCCCCGGCCACGCGCCCGCCGCCCTCCGGGCCGCGCCGCTAGGTGCTGCGGGCCGCGCGGCCGGGCCGTGCGCGCGCCCCAGCAGGTCGGGCGCCGCCCCCGGGGCGGCTGCGGGTGGCGCCGGCGCTGCGGCCGCCCCTCGGGGGCTCGCGGGAAGCCCGGGCGGCGCGGGGCGTGCGTCCGCGGGGCGGCGGCGCGGCCGGGAGCGCGCGGGAGTCCGACGCTCGGGGACGCCGCGCGCGGGCTCGGCGAGCTCGGGACAGGTGTCCTCGGGCCGCCCTGGCCGCGGGGAGGTGGCTGCGCACGGGCCCGCGCCGCGCCTGACAAAGGCGCTCACCTGGGAAACGCCCCCGCCGGCGGGGATGGCGGCGGCGCGCGGCGGAGCCTCGGTCGGTGTCCCTCGCCCCTCCCGACGGAAGGTGGTCCCCCGCCCACCGGCCCTCCGCCGCGGAGGAAGCGGTCCCGCCCGCCCGGCTTTGTCTCGCCGCGGCCCGGCGCCCTGCAGCCGCGCGGCGCGGAGGCCCGCGGGAAGCGCACCTCGCCCGGCGCCGCCCTCGCCCCGCGCCCCGCTGCCCCGCGCCCCGCGCTCCGCTGCCCGCGGACCCGGGTTCCACGGCGGCGAGCGGCACGGCCTGCGGAGCCCGCCGCCAGCCCCGCAGCCCGAGCCGGGCCCCGCCGCCGCACAGGCCGGCTCCAGATGGGGACGGCTTGGCCCAAGTATCGGAACTGGCGGTTCCTGAGGTCCCCAGGACGGGTGGTGGGAAAGTGAGCAGACTGCACGCTTTCTGCCTAAACAAGTAACCCTCCGATGTGGACATGTATGCGTGTGTGTGGACGCGGATGAAGGTGTGAAATGCCCCCTGTGCCGTGCGGGGACACAGGAGGCTCCAAAGCAGTGCTATTTATTATTCTTTGTTATTTATCAAAATCGCCATTTGTATGCTGTAGGAGAGGTACATAGATATCTGACTACGCTCAGTGGAAACCACCCAGCACTAGCTCATTGACAAAGACCTAAAAGCAACTAGAAAGCCACAGATTGCCTGAGATTCTTACACCTCCAAGACTCAGACATGTAGGCCATGACGGTTTCCAGGTGGGCACATGCTCCCGCTAAGTGTCGTTGTCCAAGACACCGTGAAGACATTCTGAACCATATGCTAATTTTGATGTTCACAAAAATGAAAAGATGCGATATCCAACTTCTGTTTTCCGTGCATTGCTGAGTTCTGATATGTTTAAGAATTGTATTTAAATGACGTTCAAGAAATACTACACATAAAAAGCATGAGGGATTTATTATTAACCCTATCTGGAAGAAAAACTGATATTGTAAAGTAAAAGACTGGACTGAAGCTAAACAAAGTTGTACTGCATGAGGGTAAAAGTAGTTTACAACTCTAAGTCGGTTTAAGTTTCCACTCTATATTTAACTCTTGGTTTTCCCTTTTTAAAGTATTAAATTGTTTTTAATTACACTATTAAAAAAGTAAGACCCTGTCAGCACTGATTCATGGGAACAAATACATAAGAACAAACAAGGAAAGATATTGTAAAATATCCACTTATTAAAATGCTTTAAAATGTTTTCTTAAATTATATATATATATATATATGGCATTATGAAGACCAGGTTCTAACACCAACCAACTGTAATAAACCTTTTCCTGCCTCAGTTTACACAGACTCTAGAATATAAGAAGTACCAGGAAAAAGATTAAAACATCTAAGGAAAATAAATGATACAAACATACCAACAATATTTGATGACCAATAGTTCACTTAATTTTCTAGACACTAATCTCAGTAAGTTAATCAAATTTTTAAATGTTTCAGTCTTATAATTGCATAAATCATCTTAAGTCCTTTTAATAAATGTATAGCTTCAGAGAATGGTCTTTCCCAGAAAGTGAAAAAAAAAAAGATGTAATAAAAATACAGACAATGGATTTTATAGCCTACGTGTAGTGGCTCTGCATAGAAAGTTAAGCTGGTTAGTTAACCTAGAAAGTTAAATAACTAAGCTCGCCTTGCCTAGCCCATGGGTAGAAGGTCAGTGGGGTGCAGTGAATTTTTTAGACAAGAAGAGAAAAAATATTGTAGAGGACAAGTTTCCATTAAGAATCTACTATGAAGAGGTATATCTTTCAACTCTATTTTCTTCATTATAGTCCCATTTTTCTGGTATTTGGTCAAATTTTAGGTTACCTGACAGAATTTCCAAGAAGCAAGTTTTTACAGAGTAATGATATAAGTGGCTTTTAAAATACAAATTTAATCTTACTTGTTTAAACAAAAATTAATCTTACCAACTCGGAAAGACATCTGAGGTTAAATGTGTTCACTGGCACTTTGTAACCTAAGATGATGCTGGTGAAAATTTTAAAAGCTCCATCTTACAGACATAAGTTTATTTGCTGAAAGGAAATAAACCTCTTTTGTGGGAAGTTATTAAAAGGGAAATTACATCTTGTAAAAATTAGTCACTTACCTTTTAATGTGTTAGAGAATGACTTTGTATTGTTTTTATGCAATATTATGTGACGACGTTAAGTTAAAATGTGCTTGTATTTTTCCTGATAGTCGTTTGTATCAGATTTAAGTGAAATGTGGCCATGAGTCTTCTCCATCTCCTTGCAATCTCCGTTCCAGGTCCTCCTTCACAGAGGTGGCCCTCCTCAGTGGGCCTTTTTGAGGTACCTGCTCCTCTGGAAGTGCTCTCCCCTAACAAAACAGCTCCCTCTGCTACCACATTTCCCATTTAGAAAACTGACCAGCAAAACTATTGCTTCTCTTGATGTCACCACCCAAAATTTCCCTGATCTCTCATAAGGGGAACCTTGATTTCAGCTCCTATCTTTAACTTGATATCTTCTGAAAGTACCTTTTTCCCCTCACTAGTTCTAGGCCCTTGATGTTAAGCACCTGTCTTGACTTGATTCTAGCTCCCACTTCCGAGCACTGAGCCCTGTGCTTGCATATAGCAGATGCTCAGTAAATTCTTTTGACTGGATGGAAGGTGTGTTCCACAGGGGCCCTAGCACACAGCTCCCACAGCTGCTTTCCTACCCGGTTGCCGCAGACAATAGACAACTGATGAGTTTTACAGAGCAGAAATCCCATGACTTGGAGGCTTTGAGGGTTTCCATCTCATCCTTCCCCCTTCCTTCTAATAATAAAGGTACAGTCCCAGAGAATGGGCGAGAGAAGAGAGAAGTGTGCTTGCCTTGTCCCTAACAGAGATCTTGATCTCCTGGACCACCATCCACCTGCCAGCCACAGAAAAGGAATGCAGGAGGCATGATGGGAACTAGCTGTTAAAGGAACCAGCTGGGCTGGGCTTGACTCCCACCCCTGTTTCCACAGCTCTGTCAAACAGAGGGACTAGGGGAAAGATGAGGAGCTATTAATATAGCCGAGACAGGAACAAGCAGTTTGTCTGTACTAGCCATGACTTCTCTGCCTCAGGTCCTCTCCTGCTGCAAAAGGTATGTTTGTATGCACAGTTTGTATGACATTTAATATATGCCAGTATATAGAATATATGTAATCTTGCCAGGGACTGGTATTTTAGGATACAAACTTCTATTAAATTTTATTTACTAAGAAACATATACCAAATGGAAGGAAAGTATGACTTGAAAATGCTTTACCCCCAGTAAAAATAAGAGAAACAAAAGGAGTTTAGAGTTCCTGAATCCCTGAAAGTGAAATATCCAAGAACTTTCCCCAGGTGAAATCTCTTCTTTATCTGCCACCATCTCTGGAAATAAAAAGTACCAAATTATATGGTTTTACTTGCTTTTGAAAATGCTGTGCAACTTGGAAGCCCTTTTTAAAAGGGCTCTTGACATTTGCAGCAATTCTATGAGAAGTGAAGACGTGGCCTGAGGCCTTCTCTTAAAATGAAGCTCTGAGGCACCCTTCCCACATGTGTGTCTGCTCTAAGTGCACCAAAGGCAGATGGATGACCAAGAGAAAAGAGGCAAGCAGGGTGCAGTGACAGCCCTGTGACCCCAGCAACTGAGGAGGCTGAGAACTTCAAGTTCCAGGCAAGCCTCAGCAACTTAGGCCCACCCTGTCCCAAAATTTAAAAAATAAATAAAATAAAAAGGACTTGGGATGTAGCTCAGAGGTAAAGCACCCTGAATTAAATCCCTAGTATTAAGAGAGAGAGAGAAGATGTGAAATTTTAGGATGCTGGCAGCAACCCAAACTGATGAGTGTTTGGACAGATGTGCCTAGTGATAAGAAGGGCTGAAAGGGAAGCCCTGCTGGACTCTGGGCCAAAGCTGGCATATCCTGTCGAGCTGGGTTTCTTGGTGGTGGGGGGAGGGCTGGAAATGCCCCAAGGGAGAAGAGAAGCTACTGCCCTCTGCAACCTGGAGCTGTGACTCTCAAGTCTCACAAGTCACGGTACGAGAAGAGAAAATCCTGACACAGCCTTCTGACCAGAAACCGTGCTATGCCAGCCAGAGAACACATGTGATTCCTTCAACTATGACAGCAGGACTGCTCCTAGTGACAGACTTGTTAGCCAGAGAGAAGGGAAGCAAAAAGACAGACTCCCGGTAAGCTGGCAAACCGAGAGCTCCAATGCGCCTGAGTAGCTCAAACGCTAACAGACCATCCAAATCAGGATGAATTCAATTCCAGATAGAATAAAAGCAATGGAGCATTCTGAAAAGAGCTTGAAAATAAATATGTTTAAAACCCTTAAATAAATATATGAAAGAATATCCACGGAGAGGGATAAGAAATTATAAGATGACTGGCAACAGTGAAATTTATTTTAAAGAACCAATTGGAAATCCTAGAAATGACAAAATTTACTAATTGACATCATTTTTAAAATCCAATTTCAGAGG